AAAAGGCAAAATACAGCATAGTATGTTTTTCCAGCAAAAATGAAGAAGGAAAGTTGAATCTCATTTTGTTGTAAAAAGTTTTAATTACAGGAGTATGCTGCACTTTTTCTTAGGTGCTGTCCCTGTGCTCTTAAGTCCATCAGCTTAGAATTCTACAATTACATATGGAAATTCAGACAATCAAAGGCTTCAGAATAGGGTGAATATCTGGAAGGGTTATGTGGAGGATTTGGAGCAATTGGACATGTGCTAGTTCTTGTTATCTTAGAACTTTATTTTGTTAAGGTGCCCATGACAAGTAAGGAAAATTACTTTTTCCATGATTTGAGAATTACATGACTTGGTAGACTGGACGAAAAGAAAGAATCTCATAATATTTGGCTTCTGTGGACTATTCATGCAGTGAAGCTATTTTTTTTTCCTAAAGAGTTGAGGATGTGTAGGAAGCTGAGCCGTGCAGTGTAGTTAGAACTGAGGAACAGTGCATCTCGTTTTGTGATAGCAGTCTGGCCAGTGAGTGACCACAACAAAAGAAAGACTCAACTTTGTAAAACGAATGATTCTCTGTGATAAATCACTTGGAGCATTCAGCACGAGGAAGAAAAATAGATATGGACTTAGAGAGCAGGTCTTTAAAAGAGTGCTAATTTTGGGAAAAAAATAAATATTTCTTTTACTAACTTAGATGGGGACACTTTAGCTAGTCCAGTGTTTAAGGTTGTGCCTGTAACACACATCTTAGAGCTCTGTAAAGAGCTACCTGAAGCAGAGGTAAACAAGCAATCCAGGTACTGTAGACAATCGGGTTTCTAATAGTAAGGAACTCAACTTATTTATCCTGTTTAAGAAAACCCTGGGTTTGAATTCCTTGGCTTTTCTTTCCTGCTTATACATTTTAAATTGTCAGTGCAGCCTGCAGTGAAATTAATGGATTGCAGAGGTGTCATTCTGTTGGTTGTGATGCTGCTTCTGGGTAAGTATTGAGTAAGAAAATCCTGGATCCCTCTCTGCCAGGTTCCTTGCTTTTGCTTTGCTGATCTGAGCTGAGATGAGCTTGCCGTAATATGGCATGAGATCCAGCACTGTATTTCTGCCAACAGACTTCAACTTCTCCCTTTTCTTACTGGCATTGACTTGAATTTCTGCGGAGAGAATACCGTGGACAGCACAGCAGTAAGGATTTTAATCCTTTTCATTATAAAACTCAATGAAAATCTTCAGAAACTCAACATACCTTGTCTGCCAGGCTTTGTGCAGTAATTGCTTTTGTGTTTCTGCTGAGACACAGTTCTTCAACAGAGTACAAACCAGGAGGAATGACTGTAGAGGAAGTGTGATGCTTTTCATTGTAGTTCCAAGCTGTTTCCCAGTTTACTTCCTGGCATATCTAATGGCATGGAGACAAAGCTCACAGCCCATCTGCATGAAAAGGAGGGCACAGGGCTGATTTGGGTGCACTCAAACTGATCAGGGAAACTTGAAATAAGGGCACCTGACAGATTCAGGGGTTTCTGGGTGGAACAAAACCTTTAGAAGTCTCAAGAGAATAACACATGGTCTTTCAATGACATGTCTTTCAATGAGTTCTCTCATTTTCACATTGTTCTTTAGTATGAAATGGTTAACAGAGATTCCACCTGCCTGTTCCACAAGTAGGTCAGCATTTGATAACTGCATTAAAATTGGCCTTTCCTAAATCCTCTCTCTCACTGTAATCCTTCCTGTCCCTCTCAATTTCCCCATGTTCTAATGCCCCATTATGAAGAAAATGTTGAGTCTTTTTTCAGATTATTTCCAAATTCTCACTCACAATGGAGCTGTTTTGCTTGGATCACATTTCTTCCCCAAAAGCTTCTGAAGATAGACATCACAGATATGATGCCATATGAGAAAGAAGGTTTTCTTATGCTCATGCAAAATGCCATGTCTTTTTCTATTGTTCTGGAAAAAAAAAACCCAACCAAAAAAACCCAAAGTGTTTTGGGCTTGTGAAAATATCTCACAGAATATATTCAGAATATTTAAATGTCTTTAGTAATTTAACTCTCAAGCCTAACGTTCAGCTCATTTTCATTGTGGCCTATCACTTCTGGTGTGACATTACTGAAAACCTTCTGATTAAAGCCAGCTCTCTTATGCATACTTTACCTCTGTGACCTATGAGTAGCTTGAAACCATTTGAACTCTGTCTAAATTGGATCCCCCTGGTTGTAAGTGTTACTGCATGTCAGTTCTATGTCAGTTGGATGGAAATCTTGCTGCAGAGGATGAAAGTTCACAGCTCAGTATTAATCTACTGGGCAAACTACATCTAATGCCTTCAGTTTTCTTGAAATACAGCTCCTGATGACCTCTGACAGGCAAAATACAATATAGGATTTTCTAATATTCATTTTTAGTGTAGCTATTTAAAATCTAGCATGTATCATCCTTCTGTACCAAATAAATGCTGCGAGAGACAAAATTAAGAATAGTGACAAGTGGATTATTGGACACGGAGACTTTTGTTAATCAAATGTGTCTGGGTCCATTACTTCACAATTGTCTTGAAACAGAAAATGCAAATCCAGGCTTCAGTAAAGGAGGCTGTGTACAGATGAACTGCTGCCTGGGATTCCCTTGATATCTGTGGGATGAGACTTTCAAACTGCTGTGTGAGGTCAACAAAAAAAATCCTGAAGCCACATGGCTTCTGGAGCAGACAGCATAAATCACTGAGTGCTGGTGGAGTCTGCCTTTAACTCACAAATAAGAACTTTGAATTTAGCACCAGCTACTGTTTAAAAGAGAATCTCTATAGATTTGTGCAGCTTAAATGACACCATTATCAACATCCTGTGTTACACAGTGACACCTTTGCTCTTGCCAGTTTTAGGGAGTACATTACATTGCTTTTGAAGTGACTTTTTTTGGACATAAAATCCAAGCCTGAAAAGGAAAAATGTCTGATAGGTGCAGGTTTGTAAGCCTGCAACTTCATCTCACTTCTGTTTAAACTAACAGCAGAACTCATACCTCTTTCAGAGGAGCAAGATTGACTTTTAAATATTTAGTTAGAATCTGAAAGGAAATGGATCCTGCATTCCTTGCAAATCCTAAATTGTCTGTGAAAACAGGGGGATTTGGTAGGAGGAAAGAAATCTAAGGTTAAGCTCTGTTTTGCAGTGGGATGATGCTAGTTCTGGGAGGGATGCTTTTTAGGCACTTTCTAGACATGAATTAAATTCACCTTTCTCAAAGCCCTGGTTCAGTCCTACTGAGGAGAACTGGCAAAGTGTTCTTGTGCTAGGCCTGAACGAAGCCCTTGGTTCTTCAAGAAGCCTCTGCTTCAGCCCCGTGTTTAAAAGAGAACTTTTAGCCTGTAGAGGGTGTACCTAATCAACAGTGTCTTTTGAGCCCTTCCAACTCCTCTTATTCTGTAGCTACAGTTTGTCATTACAGAACGTTCCCATTTGGTAAGTCAGACAAAGTATCTCATCCAATGACTCTCATCCTGTCACTCCTCTTAGGGAAATACAAAACAATAGTAATAAATCAGCACCGGTATGGCCAGAAGTATTTTAAGACAGTGGCAATTGGATCAGTTCTTGGACGGTTTAGGAGCATATTTTCCTGCTGTTTCCATTTTTAAACCCAGACTTCTAAAATCCTGACAGCCTGACTCTTTTTTTCCTGTGAGTCACACAAAGTGAATAAATTTTTGATTACAACATGTGCAGAGCCCAGAGTTCGAAACCTTGGAGTCCTCTTCTGTCAGAGGCTCTGAAACCTGCTATGGAAAGATCCACCTCAGACATTGGAGTAGCTCCCTGTGGGTGCAGTGTTTGGGTCACACTCATCTCTGGGAGCCCAGAGCTCACTCAGCAGTAGCACCACAGAAGTTTCCTGTAAGTACATCTGCTGTACATACACACACTCTGATATAAATATAGAATCACAGCACAGGGACTCTTACAACAATGTGGCGAGGACAAAGCATTAAAAAAAAAAAAAAGAAACTAAGCAGCTTGCAGACTGTGGCAGTTTTGTGACCGGTGGGCTTTAATCATTGATTTTTGCTTTGTTAATTTGGCAGTATTGAACGTGGGTAACTGTTCAGATCAGACAAATATGTGGGAAAGAGTGCACTGACAAAAATCCCTCCGAAGATAAGCAAATGTTTCACAGTAACATGAGTGTGTGCAGCCACATCCTGGACTGAAAGAATGGAAGTTGGGGCTGACAGCGGTGATCTCTTCCTTCACTGCTCGTTGGCTCACCCTGTGCATTTTGATGGAGACCCTCAGATATGGAGAAGTAATTTTCCCATTGTAGAACTCCCATATCTGGTAAATTTTCTTTTGAAGCTTACAGAGTGCTTTATGACAGGCTAAACTTGAAAAAATAGAAAGAAGCCAACAACAATGGGTGAAATAGTATGATTTAATAGTTTTTCCCTATGAAATAGCTGGCTAAAAGATCACATATACTTAAATAAGAGGGTTTTTTTATATCAACAGCTAATGTCTAATCTCAAAAATAAGGGTCTGATCTCAAGGCAAAGCAGAATGTCTGCTTTTTTCAATTATATCCATTTAACTAGAAGTAAAGCTGTGGATTTTAGCGGGATGAAGGTGATGCTGTATCTTTTGCTCTCTGATCCAAAAACATTTAGTATAGTCTTTAGTCTGAAGTTTGGGCAGAACCTTAAATATGTATTTGTCCAGGTTTATTCTAGATTTTGACCTTCTTAAGGTTAACAGTTTGTTTTAAATTGGAAAAAATCATTGTCAGACTATTAGTTTATCTTGCACGTGGGTAGAGACACGGGCTAATCTGGGAAAGTTTTGTGTCTGGGCTTGTTTTAGAAGCTGTAGCATTTTGTAGGCTTGGCACCATACTGGCTATGCCACTGGGCTCGTGGAAAGTTGGAACCAAACCCCTACTTTTTCCTTTGTCTCTTGCGTTGCCATTTTTGTGTTTTTAATTTCTTTCCTTTTCGCTTCTCCTTTCCAGAGGTGAGACACCTCAGTGGATGGGTCACTGTGACAATGAGGTTGCTGCAAACAGACACTGTGGCTCTGCTTCTCTCAGCGACTGTCAAAGGCTACACTGTGTGCAAATCCGAATGCACAACAGGAATCCACAGGAACCCCGGGGGCACAGAAAGGTACCCTGGTTAAATTCTAACTGAGACTCATAATTGATTTTATAAACTGGTTTTCTTTTAGGAGGCTCTTTTTACAACAAGATCACAGTTTGGAATGTGCAGTAATAACATCACAAAAGATGGAATTGTGGTCAATAGGTCTGAGGTGGGGGAAAAAACCACTGATAGAAGGCTCCTCAAGTGCATGGTTTGGGTTAACAGTAACCAGCAGAGAAAATTACTTTTTAACACATAGGATTTGAGACCACCTCATGGGAAGAGATGATATCAAAACCCATGGAAATCACACCTAGATTAGTTTAGAGACTTGAATGTGTTACCAGAAAGTCCTCTTAAGATTCCACTTACCCTTTTTCTACTAAGCCTCCTATCTGTATATTCCCTAACAGAAAGGAGTCTTCTTGATAATTTGTTTGCACAACTTTCTAATTAGGCTTATTGATAATTAATCTGGATAAATCCACGTGCAGAAACTTCTCATTATCATTCTTTCAAAGCGTGGTATAGGACCTTCAAGACATGTTTGTTTATAGATATTTTCCATTTCATGGTTTCTGCCATGTGTATGTCATGGCAAGATTAAAGGTATAGTTTAGTTAAACCTTCAGATTTTAAAAACTAGCGCTTGGTATTCCACTGCTTCATCTTGGTGATTGTCTTTTGTACATAAAAATGTTGATGTGAAATGTAATAAATGTCCTGAAATAAATATTTTAATTGATAGTAGCACAATTTCCATAATTTCTTTGTTTTATTTCATTGTTTGTTCATGTGCTTTTTGTTTTTCTTTTTTTTTCCTGTTATTCCCAGTCCTTGTTCAGCTCTACAAGCACACTGCAAAGTGTCAGGAGGAATAACATATAGCTTGCAGTCCATCATCTGCATTCCCTTTGCATTAGGTGTAACACTGGCATGAAAATCGGAGCCCCTGCTCCAATTTTTCCAGCTGTCTCTGTCTCCCTGTGATCTTTTTGTACAAATTTTCTGGCAAGTCTACAAATATGCACGCTTATATCCCTTTCTTGGGCATGCATATGCATTTTGCTATCTCAAAACGTGGGTACAACTGAATGGAATCATTAGGGGGTTTTTTCCTCAGTAATTTGAGCATGTTTGCTGATGTAGGCAAACATCAGTAAACAGAACATACATACAGTATCAAAAAATACAATATCTTCTCCCTTTGTCCTCTTGCTCTCAGATTTCTATATAAGTTTGTTTTGTTTTCATTCGAAATGTATGAATAAAGCAATATCAGGATCTTTTCACTGCCATCTTCAGGTCTTATTTATAGAGTACTTTCACAGCTTCAGGAATTGTTAACTTTTTAGGCAATAAATGTCATCTTGCTTCTGAGGTTACGTTTGTTTTATTTTCCTTAGTAATATTATTGCTTTAAAGCTGTAATATGTTTTCTATTTTGGTATTTTTCTGTTGCCCCAAGGGACTTGAGCTGTAACAAGGATTTGCATTGGCTACAGTGCTGTTCTTATTCTGCACATGGTTATGGGTAGACAGGAGAGAGTGCCAGGGCTGAACATGATATTCTATTGGAACAGCTTGTGCCAAGATTTGGGCTTGAACAATTTGGAGGAGACATGATGTCACTGTCTCTGTAAAGTGAATTTGAACAGGACAGTTGTACTGTATTTTGGGCATGTGTTTTAAAAATAACAATTAAAATAATATCTCGTGTGTTTCCTTATCTTTTGTCTTTGCTCTCTGGTTTCACAGCCTTTGCACTGCATTTCTTGTGCCCTGGTGGTATTTCGGTTTCATTATTTTTCAAGCAGAGTTTGATGACACTGATTTAGCAGTTTCTCACAGTTCACTGCTCCAGTTTTCATCAAATTATACTTGTAGTTATACTAGACACTTTCATCATCAATTTCCATATGCCTCAAAGACATGCAGGGACCAGTTTGCCAGCACTGAACTCAAATGCCAGACAATAACTGGAATACAGGATTTCTTTTCCTAGGGTGTCTGAGACAAAGAGTGTAGAATCCTTCAGTTTTTAGCAAGTGTTTTCAGCCTGAACGCATTAAAAATGTAGACAATAACTGCTATGAAATATTGGTTTGGAAATGTCAAATCAAGGGATAAAAATTAACATTGGTTAAACTGTGAGACCTTAGCCATTTCTTTCCAGAAACCTACCTTACATTAGAGAGCACTGCTTTTAAATTTAAGGTTCTCTCTTTCCCCACAGAATCAGAGGATTCATAAGCAACCTGACCTATATTTTCTGTACAGCTAAGTTTGATAATTATGATAATTAACACACAATAAACATTTCACCTTCAGGCTCTAGGTTCACGTGTACCTTCAGGTCAGCAACGTTACTGGGGACATTTAAAGTGACAAGACTCCTGAGAATGACTGTGAAAGTCTTTTCCTTCATTTAGGGGGTCTTGGTTGCTCAGATTTGAAAGATGTCCATGTTGGAACCCCTGACACCTTTAAAGGTTTTCTGTTATGTTCATCCTGCAATTTTCTGCGGAGGGACCAGAGTTCTGACACAACAGACAATCTGGATTCTGTAAACTGGAACTAGATGTAGATGTGCTGGAGACCATGGTTCTTAATGTCTGTCAAAAGCATAAAGTTAATTATGCAAGGCACGAAGTGAAGCTCTATGTGTTTAGATGTAAAGAGGTTAACTCTGAGTAACTTGACAACAGTCATCATCATCAGAAGAATTTGCCATTAAATCTGTAGTCCCCAAAAAATGTCTTCAAGATAGCACAGGAGTAATCTTCTCACTTCTGCACTACCATGTAAATTGCTTTACTTGCACTGAGAGCCAAATCTATTTCAGTTTTGCACTTTGCTTTCCACATGAAATTTTGACTGATGTTGAGAATTTTGCACACAACTTTCAGTGCAATAGGGACCTTCTCTCAGGAATAGAGAGAAGAATTTTTCTCTGCCTGCAAGAATTTCAGTTTGTGGAGTCTGCCATTTGTAGAATGCACTCGGTGTGACAGAAAACCACTTCACTAGATCTCCTCTCTGAAGCTGGAAGGGCATGGGTAGAGTGAGAATGTCTGGTGTCACTGTGACTTCTCAAAACTCATGAGGACACAGTTCGTATTACATCCAGGAACAGAAACATGGTGTGGCCAGGGCCTGCCACAGGGTGAGATAATCTGTGTGATGAAGAGGGAAGGGAGTTGTTGAACAAGTTAAAGGTCAAGGAGAGGAGAAATTTGTAATACACTACTGTAATACTAATGCCTGTTTCCTGACACACCACCAAGTTTTGGAATTATTTGGTACAGTGGGCTCTGAGTGCCTAAACTGCAGATGAATTAAACTGAGGGTTTTCTCATGCATTGGTTTTGACCCAATGCGTTACAGACCAATTAAATCATAAAATGATCATTTGTGGAAAAAGGCATCCACCTTCTTCTAAACAGGTAAATTGTTATGCACTACACAGAATGTTTAAGCACCTCACATTACTCCCACAGTTGTGTATTCCCTGTCACAGCTCATTTACCAGAAGGTGACCCCCAAAAACCTTTACTTGTAGTGTGCCCTGAGCCTTCAGTGTTTGGGAGTTCCTGTAGTAATGTCTTTGCAGTAACTGCTCTCCATCAAACAACACTTGGATCTTTACATACATACAAAAATGAAGTCACTGCCTGCTCTATTATGAAGGAATAAATCACCCGTATATCCTTCTCAGTTTTGAAAAAAGAATGTTCAGTGGAATGTTCCAGAAAAAAAAAAAAGAGTGGTTTCTTCTCTAGGTAACTTGACTATCAGTTACACTGGGATTTTTTAGAAGGGCAAACGACTCACCTACAACCTTTTTTTGCATAATTTCTTATTTCTAGAGAGGGCGAATAGGAAAGTTCCAATCAAGTATTTAATTTATTTTAAAGGGGCAAGGCAGCAGACAAAGTTCTGGTCCATCAAATATAAAAAGACTGCCCAGAGAGCAACTAGTGGTATCTCCTTCATTAGTCTTACCTGATGCTCTTTCAGCATTGCAATGTTGTGCTCCTCTGTGTCTGCAGATTCTGACAGAAGGCGCAAATTTCACTTCCTTTGGAGAATTGTCATTTCCCTCCAAAAGCTGGAGGGGTCACGGAGTCTTCTGGAAGATGTAGTGTTTGCTGGAGTGTTGAACAGGTTAGTGTACAGACCCTTGTTTGTAAGAGAAAAAGTGGGATGAAAATTCATAATGGGACAGAATACAAAAACCAAAAGCCGAGGCAATTTTTTATTTATTTTTTTTTTTTAAATTCAGCTTCTAGGATTCAATTAACTCCCAGTTCCAGTCTGTGATTTTGTTCAGGAGCTCTAAGAGCTAAAAAACCCCCAATTTGTATCTTCAAAATTGGAATCCTGGAGGGGTTTCTTTTTCTATTTGTTTGTTCTCCATAGATAATACTATGATCTTCTGTTGGTTTCATGTTGTTGGCCAGCATGCAAGCCAAATGCTCTGTGACTTATGGACTACAAGCAAAGAGGGAGACCAGTGGAGAACTTTAAATCTATCCAACTATATCCAGCAAATTTGGAATGCTGTGGGACTCAGTGGGGCATTAAGCCTAAACTAATGCAGTTTTCTCCTGTTGTCTTCTGTTCCACAGCTAGTGAAGAATTTCTGCTGTAATGAGGGGAATGAGCCTGTTGAGTTACGGGTTTTGGCAGAACTGCAGTGATCTGTATTGACATGGTGAGTCCAGTGACTTTTGGTGTAGACTGCTACCAGTGCCTTTCCACTGGATCAAACCCTACTTTCTTAAAATGTTAACCAATCAAAATACAAATTGTTTGGCACTCCACCTGCATGCCCCAGTCTCTGCAGGCCAAAAGTGAACTCTGTCTGCAATGCAAATGAGAACCCTTGATGCTCTGCTCTTAAAATGGCTAAAAAGGCCCATGTACTGAAACAAACAAATGAAACCCCTCTGACACTGTGTCCAAATGAAAAGATAGTGTGAAACACTGGCCTAAGTTTTTGTGAAACTGTAGCATACCCTGTGCTGGTGTTGGTCTCACACCGCAGACAGAGGCAGTCTCCCAGGTGCCCTGTGCTGTGGACTAGACTGGGGAACTGACCTGCCTTGAAACCCTTTTTGGAAGGAGGCTTTTTTAAAAAAAATGAATTTGTTCCTCTTGTGTGGTTTGCACGTGTTTGAAAACTGGGGGGTTGTTTGGTTGTTTGGTTGAAAATTGTTTGGTTTTGGTTGGTTGGTTGGTTGGTTGGTTGGGTTTGTTTTGTGGTTTTTGTTCGTTTGTTGCTTTGTTTTTAACTCCTTTCTGTGTAAAAGATCACTCAAAAAATTCTGTTATTTAAGGAATGAGTTCTCAGAGGTGGACTTTAAATTATTCTTTCTTGTATTGCTTCAGAGAGACTTAGGGAAGCTTTTTCCTGAACAGCAAAATGAGATGGGTGTCTGTGGTTCACTCCAGATTACCCTGTGTGTGTCTCAAAAGCTCTGTCTTGTTCTTGGCAGAAACTGGAGACAGTGGTTCCTATGAATGTATTGGAGATGACATAATAGATTTTGAAGAATGGGTATGCTTTTTGGGGTAGTATAGTGTTTTATAATATTTAACATGCATCTCCTGCATCTGCACATTTGATGACACTCACTTTGGATTTGTAGAAGTGAAAAAATAAAATCCAGTGCAAACTCTGAATATGACTAAGGTTTCATGTGTAACATACACTTTTAATATGACAAATAGGAAGTATTAAAGTAAACAAAAGCTGTTTGTTCACTGTTTTGAATTTCACCCAGCTAGGAAAATCAGTCCTGTGACACCCACAATAAACAGCTCACTTACTTTTTCGCTTTTTGAATTTATCTCTGAGATCTTCTTGTCAAGTGTGTATTAATAAGTACACATTCCAGCCAAAATATAGATGTTTTATTTTTCTGTAATTGCATTTTGATGCTGCTCCTGTGAATTAGAGAAAGCAACTCCTTTCCTCAGAAAATCCTTTAATCAATTTAAATAAAATATTTTTTTCCTTCTTTTAGCAACTCCAGGGCCAGCACATTTCTAAAGTGGGTGCATCTTTGGAAAGCGTACTGTTCTTGGGGAAACAGAAAACAAGTAGTTTGAAAAAAGGGGAAAAGTTTCGTTGTGTGCTCTTAACAGAAAATGTTCCAGAGTTTGTCAAGTCATATATTAAAAACAGTGCTCCTGGTGACTGTATTACAGCTTGGTGGAGGTGAGGAACACTCAGTATTGTGATAGAAGTGTGAACCTAGGGTCAGGTCCCACTCTGGATTCATGCAAGTACCCACGTACCTCTAACTTTTAGGGCCCAGAGTTTGCTTTGTATAAGGACCAGTGGGTCAGGTAAGTGCTCGCTTCAGTACCAGATCTGTCTGATCTGTCTCTTGCCACACAGAGTATCAGAGAGAAGGTCTTTGAGCTTTCTAACTCCCAGTCCAGCCACCTACCCAGGCTTCCACCTTGTTTCTCAGCTTGTTTTGTAGTGCCGGGGGCTCCAGGTGTATAAGAACACAACTACAGGAAAAGTCCTTCTGCTGCAGCTGGGGAGAAGGGATGCAGCAGGTTCAGGGTCAAGCCTGCTGCTTCTCCTCACCTCACCTGACCTGCCCCTCCATGTTCCTATACTGAAGTTGGCAGTGGTACCAATGAAGCTGTCCTGCTCTCTCTCTGTCCTCAGTTGCTCATCTCACTCCCTGTCTTGTTCCAGGAGAAGTGTTTGTGCAGTTGTGAAGTGGATTGAGTGAGGATACGGACTCACACCGAACCAGAACGTTTTTCCCTGGTGCTAAACGGATCAGATTCCCAGGTGGGGTTCCCAGCTCTCACAGGAGGGTGAGTGCAGGGACAGAAGTGGGGGGAGTGGGCTGAATGCTGGACTGCTTTTTTTACAGCTGTGTCAGAGTAAGTCAGTGAAAAATTCTTGTGAAACTACGGCCTCAGACTTCATTCCAGGCAAAGTTTCCCTGGAAATGTTACTTTGATTTGATTAGGAGGACGACTCATCTGTGGGCCATTTTGTCTGAAGCAGAAATTTTCCTTTGGTGGTTCACAGTGCTTGCTTCTGTTAAAAGGGATAAAGACAATAGTAAAAAAAAAAAAGAGGGACTGAAAGGGCAAATTTGGAAAAAACCTTTTGCCATTTAGTCTTTTTTTAGGTTGATTTTTTCTTAGTTTGCCATGATTCTAAACAGAACAATCCATCCCAGTGGATTTCTGCCTGGCAATACAAGGGACCCTTCTCACGGTTTTCAGTAACAAAGAAAAACCTGCCTGCTTGCCATCTATATCTGAAGGTTGGCCAGAGTAAAAATTACTTATTTAAGATATATAGGACACTATTTACTCTTAGAGACCTGTTATCTATTTTCTATCTGCTCGACTATTCAAAATTGTTTGGATTTTTTCCTTTTCTTTTCTTCCTTATTTCTTTTTTTTCCTCCCAGTGGAAGTGTACCTTTGTGGAAGTCTTCCATTTGCTGTCTTGAAAGTAACACAGCAAACACCTATAATCTTTACTTTGTTACTGTTGTGGCTGTTGACACAATTGCTGTGGATGGGGAGGGGGGAGGAAGACAAAAAAAAGAAAAAGACAACAGCAACCTCCGTGATTCCCTGATTCTATCTTTCCATAGAAAAGCCCCAGTCACCCTAAGACAATGTTCGGCCTCAAAGGCGAACCCTGCAGTGGTGTTTCTGGGTGTTTTTCTGGCCGCTGAGGTGAGCTTACCTACAAAGGAGCAGAGCACCGCATTAACACCCAGTGACGAAAGGTGCGGCGGAAGATGCGAAAACCCGTTCCGAGGATTTTTTTTTTTTTACTTTTTTTTTTTTTAATTGTTGCTGTTGTTACTTATTTATTTTGCTATTCGTGTGGGCAGGGACAGAGCCGATCGGCGGTGCGGGGCCGGCCGTGTTTGGGGGTGCGGGGCGGGCGCTGCCCTTCGGCGGAGGGGAAGGGGGTCCCGGTGGGCTCCGGCGCTGCCCTGCCCGCTCCCCCGGGGCACCCCTGCGTGACCCCAATGGGCGGCACAGCCACCGCTCCAGCCGGCCCGGCGGGGGGAAAGCCGTGCCGCACTTGGGAAATGCAGCAGCGACTGCTCCCTCCCTCCCTCCCTGCCCGGGGGGGTGAAGTGCGAGGCAGCGGGAGGAGCCGTGCGTGTGTGTGTGTGTGTGTGTGTGTGTGCGAGCAGCGCGCCGTGGCCGCCGTGTTTCCTGGTGCCTGCTCCCTGACCCCAGTGGCAGTCCCGATCACTGCACCGCGCCCGCCCCCGCCGCCGCCGCCCCGCTCCCGCAGCCGGACCCGGACGCGGAGCCAGGGCCCCGCCGGGCACCGCCGCGGGGTCGGGCGCAGGCTCTGCCCCGGCCGCGCCCCCGCAGCCCCATGGAGCGGCCCCGCTGAAGGCATCCCCGACCCGCCCGCAGCGGCAGCCGGCGGAGGGAAGGTGAGCGGCCCCGGGCCGGTGTCGGTGCAGGGCGGGCACGGCGGGGGCAGCGCCGCACAAAGCGGCGGGTTAGAGGTGCCGTGTCATGGGCGAGAGCGCGGGAGGGGGGGGGGGGGGCGCGGGCAGGAGCTCCAGCGGCGGCGGCGGCGCCGGGTCCAGCCTCCCGCGAACAATAATGAGGATAAACCCGGCTCCTGCCGCCCCCCGGCGTGACCGCCCGAGCCCGCCGGGTCGGGTCGGGTCGGTGCGGCGGCGGCAGCAGCGGCAGCAGCGGCGGCGGCGGCGCTTCCCCGCAGCCGCGGCGCGTTCCCGGCGGCGCTGAGCGCGGCTGCCCTGCCCCGCTGCCCA